TAAATGCTTATAAAAAGAAATTGTGACTAGTTATTTTTAATTTTTTTCAAACGTCATTTTAACAACATAATAGGAGTTTTGTATTAAATTTTCAAGCTTTTTTACCATCCAAATCGTTCTTAAAATCAGATTCACAAGTTTGCTATTTTGAATTTATTCAAAAAAATTTAAGTCAAATTTAAAATTTTTTATTAACTTTTTTTAACTTTTTAACTTAACTAGTTAGTTTATTTTCTAATTAACTTATGAACTTAAATAGTTTAATTTACAATTGAAATACTTTAGCTTTTCTAGGTTGATTTAAAAAAAATCCATTAAGTTAAAACATTTTGAAATTGTTCGTATATACGTAAATATTACTATATCAGTATAAAATAAAAATAATCCAATACAAAAACACAAACATTTCTGTTCTTTTTCTTGATAATATAATTTTTTGTATATTAATATATTTTATTGAGTTGTAAATTATATATTATGTGAGTTGTAATTATACCTAAATGTTTTTAATAAAATTAATAATTTTAAATTACAAATTGCCAATTGTTATGTTTTAATGTTATATAACTTATAATATATATGAATGTCATGTTCATGACTCATCTTCATGTATTATGACATTCAATTTCTAAACGATATAAAAAAATATATTTGTTAAATTATTAATTTGAGATGAGTATAGTTTAAATTAGTAAATAATAGAAAAGTAAAATGGTATACAGTGTACATTATGATAAAAGTTCAATAAAATTTTTTTTTATAATTTATAAATTAGGAACTAGAAAGACACATTCACTCTTTATGTGATTTACATATTAATTATAAAAAAAAAAATGGATTAACTTTTTTTAAACTGAGTTAAGTTAATATTTTTTTCTATATTAAATTTTAACTTATCAAGTTAAATTTATAATTTGTTAAATGCTAACTTTTAACCTATCGATCTTGTGTCCTCTTAACTTAACTTAACTTGAGTTAATTATTTTCATTAACTTGCCCACCTTTGGAAATAAGACAATATTTATTCTATTACATTTGAATAAAACACAAATATGCTTATGCATCTTTATTTTTCATTTTAAAAATATCCACTAGTTAATATTATAATTACCTAAACTCGCTGTATATTATAATATATTAAGGAATTTTTACTATTTCCAAAATATTCACTTTTTCACTAGATGAAATCTATTACGTCTATTCTGTGATATAACATTTACATTAATTCTTAGGATCTCTCTATAATATAATATACAAAATACAAACATTACATAAGATACCTAAATAATTCGTTTAAAGAAATTATACGTCACTTATAAACGTATATAAATATTAAATAATATATAAATAATTAATATAAACAGATCACCATTAATATTTGTATTCAAGTCTACCACACTGCAACGATACACCCTTATGTATTATGGGTTTTATATAAACATTTTTAATGAAAAAAATATACATTGACAACTAAAATAAATCATTTCGGTTTTTATCAAAACAAAAAAATGATCTTTTTTCCAACCCTAATCTTACGAATTTCGGAACTAGTTCAAATGTATACACTGTTTTGTATTATTTTTTTATTTTATAGTGGGGTTTCATACCAATATACCATGATACCGAACAAGTAAAACACTATGAATGACACTTGATGCTCAAGTATTTTATTATGCAATCTCATCTTCATAAATCATAACTCACCATCTGATGCTATTAAATAATACAACCAGTCACAGTCGCCACCAACGAAACCGATCATCAGACTCGAGCAAAACGTATATTGTTTCATAAGAAAACGCACTGATGGAGATGTTACTATAATATACAAAATATATAATATTGTGCGTCTTAAATATATAATTTTGTGTATGTTGTCGGTTAATAGTCTGAGTTGAATGAAATATAGATAGATCTACCTATTTTTATTGAGATAATTGTCTATATGCGTGGTTAAGCTTAGGTACTATGGTCTCATCTAATATAATTTAACTATCGAGATGATTATTGGGCATAACAATTTTGTAGTAGTAGGTATAACCAATTGATGAGCCATGTTGTACTTTTGAAAATACTTTTTAGGGTCCATGTATTGGAATGTTTAAATGTGTCTAAGTATTTTGTAAGTATGTATTTCATGTGTGAGTGTGTCTATATGTAATGTATATTCTTTAACGAAGCGTCTTATATTGATATTTAAGCTGTATAACAAGATTAGTTGTGTGTGATTTTGTATATAATATAAAAGTACCTATTTATGTATGAATACTGTATATAGTATGTACCATGTGTGAGAATAAATTACTATACATAATACAATAAGTAAGTTTTATACCATGTTTAGGTGTTTGTTATAATGAATATAATAATAGTTTTTAAAATGTTGTGACTTGTGTTACACGGTGGAGCATGTAGAAATGAATGATTAAACTGATGAAATTTCACTGTAAAAAGGTGCTCAGAATATTATACAAATGAATAATACTTGTAAAATTGTTTACAAGTTTATGCATGTATATTGTGTTTGAGATGAATTCCGGAATAAAAATCCCCCGACGAACAACGCCGGAAAAAAAATCCCCAGACTACAATATTACTTACAACCTCTTGCAAATGGTTGAACAAATATTTTTAAACGTTAATTAGTATCTATAATTAATTTTTAATTACAAATACGTATATTATATTCTATTATAATATATTATAAATAATATTTTGTTTTAAAATTACGATAATATATTATGTGTAATTCAAATTAAATAACTAACTTTACCTTATATTATATATTATCAAACGTACATACTAAACCGCTTATCGTCAAAATGTCACAGAAAACGCAATATTTTATTTCGGGAATTCAATTTTTACAGAATTATACCTACATAAAATATATAGGTAGGTATCTATATTTTGTATAATATTTTTGTATACTATGTTTTTAACTGTATTATTAATTGACGTATCGATCATTATAAATATTTTTATAATTTTTTTAACAATATAATATAATATACGTATTTGTCATTAAATATTAATTATAGATACCTACTAATTAACGTTCAAAATATATTTGTTCAACCATTTGCATGTGATTGTCAGTAAAATTGTAGCTGGGGATTTTTTTTCCTAGTGTCGGGGATTTTTTTTCCGGGGTTGTTCATCGGGGGATTTTTTTTCCGATTACCGTTTGAGATACATTCCCCTGTATAACGTAGGTATGCTTTAGCGATTAGTTTTTTCGTATATAATTATATATAATAAGAAAACTGTATAATAATTTTATGTACCTATGAATGTATATATATGCATGTATAAGGTATTAAATATATTTATATATATGTTGAGCGTGTGTTCAGAATGAAAATTGATGAGCAAGTTATGGTATCGTGTGTTTCATAGTATATTGTGTTTTGTAAGTGTTTGGTCATATCATATTTATATGTATAAATATAAATATGTATCGTATGCTAATGATGCGTTTTATTGATATGTAAGTATATATTATGGCGTAAATTCTATAATAGGCTCAGGAGTTTGTGATAACGATGCGAGTATTATTATTTGGATATAATTTATGTAAGACATACTTTGAGATACATTCCAGTGTATAACGTTTGCTTTAGCGAGATGTGTATTCGAAAGGGATTATAATCTGAGAATGGCATAATATATTTAGACATAATGTGTGATAATGTACCTTATACCTATAATGAATTACCTATGTATGTATGTATGTGTGTATATATTATGTATGATATAGTCGATTCAAATGTACATGAGAATATTATATATATTTATTTTTTAAGAGTGTAAACAAAAGGGGATGTAATTTATTTGAAGGGGGCCTCAAAGTATGTCTGTCACGTGTCTATAATATAAGGCTATTATATGTGACATGGAGGTGCAGTGCTACGGTGGTTACTATCCGACCTAGGTTTTCGAATCCTGGTCTGACGGGAAAATTTTTAATTTTTTTTTTCCCGTGCGGCGGTGGCCATATAGGGAAGGGGGTCCGCGAGGTGGTGAGGATGGATTGGAGGAGATGGCATCAACCCTCGGCCTAGGGTTCTGTTGTTCGGTGTCAGAGTTCTGCTCGAGAGCATAGGGATCAGCCTGCAGGTTTTGGAAATCTCTTTTTCACTCTACTCATATTGTAATTTTTGTTTGCACCTATGTAAAAAGCTTTTTTGGTATACCGAATTTTTATAATTTTTCTTTTACTATGGTCGTAATTGTTGAAGAGCCATTTTATAAAGTAACTTCCTAGGTACCTTTTTATTCCAGTGTATAACGTATGCTTTAGCGAGATTTGTATTCGAAAGGGATTATAATCTGAGAATGGCATAATATTTTTAGATATGTGTGATAATGTACCTTATACTTATAATGAATTACTTATATATGTATGTATGTATGTATTTATGTATGTATTATGTATGTATGTATGGTATAGTCGATACAAATGTACATGAGAATATTATATATATTTATTTTTTAAATGTGTAAATAAAAGGGAATTTAATGCCTTTGAAGGGGGAATCGTAAAAAATATGTCGGTCACGTGTCTGATGGGGTGTCGGTTGCGATGAGCGACGAGTTGATCTGTGTTCCGGGTTGTCTATAATGAAGTATATTTTATTCATTGATTTTCTATGATTTTATTACAAATCAAGGGTAGGTATATGTTGTATAAATTAAAGTAAAGTGATAGTATAGATTCTGCGGTTTCTGGTTTTGGAAATATCTTCTTTTTTTTTATAATTACTTACGCCAAACGACTTTTTACATAGGTACAAACAATACTTTACAATTAGTTTCATAATGAAAATTGAAAATGTTATGACTGACTCTAGTTTTTACTAAAAAATTAATTTAAAGTACCAATTAACTGTTAACCCTATTTGACATAACATTTTTCATAAAACGATTACATTTTGTCTCTGACCTCATATCACGCGAAACACGACCAATCCTCGACCAGACTCCTCAGAACATCAATTTTAGGCGCCGCAACAAAACATACGTCTGATAAGACGCTTGGTTCTTTTCCAAATCGATTTGCGTCTAGGGCGTTCTTGTACCACAGGTTCCGGGCTCTCGTCCCGGCGGCGGACTTCCGGTAACGGCTGTTGTCCTAATGCTGTTTGCTCGCTGTCAACGCTCTCCGGCAACCCTCGCTCATCGGCAAAATCAATTGAGGTCGTGCTGGATATTTCTCGTACGTCGAGCGGTATCCCCGTTTGCAGCAGGTCATCGCACACGACCTCCCGGAGGGTTGGTCCGAGCACTGGGCCACTGGTGACTGCACGTCCGTCTGGTTCGCTGCTGTTCGGAAGTGACCCGTCGAAGTAGCTTCTCAAAGCACGAACCAAAATACACGGGGGTACTCTTTTCGCCACCAAGGCGTCCTCTATCCTTGCCCATAAATCCGTATGCAAGGCATTTGCCACGTCTAAGGATACCTCGGTGGACAGCCGAAACGAACAGGGACGCCGTGTCGACAAAAGTTGACCCTCCAACCCGCGGACTAATGGCATCGGGGACACGACCAACTGGGGGGGTGCCGCTGACGGCGTATCCGTCCTGACTTGGGGAGCGTCAAGGGGCGTGGTTATTGCCCGGTTCAGGATTGAAATGTACATCCTGAACTGTGATCCCGCGCATTTTTCCAAGACGATCCCAACACTCCGTTGTCCCGAGTCGGCAAGTCGCCGGGGTGAGTCAGCTATCGTCACCTGCAGCTCCTGCGTCTCAAATTCAGAACGATAAACCCGTCCGAAATCCGCTGCATCGCCCGCAGACTGTAATCCATGTCCGAAATCAGTGGTTTCCACTAACGAATCCGTAGAACCTTCCAGTGCTGACTCCTGGCCGACGAATTCATCGCATAGCTCGGAACTGACAGCGTTTCCAGTCGATTCGTCATTGATTTCCACTTCGAACGTATTTCCATAAATATCGCGGCTTGTCATTTTCTTGGACAAATATATTATAAAAATATATTATAATATAGTAATACAATACAAGAAATTAACTTTTCAAAAATATTCTACACAATTATAAGCGTAGGGGTACTTCGAAATAATTAACTGTGACAAATAAATGTTTAATTCAATATGTATTTATATAGCAACGCTATATATATATAGCGTTATCCATAGCAACGCTATTTTGAAATAATATATTTATAACAGCTGTAATATTATAATTTATTAATTATCATTAAAATTTCATGTTAAATTCAAATTTAAAAATAAAAATTATGACGAGAAATTAAGCATTTAATAGGGGATTAGCTTAAGAGGATTGGAAGCGACGATTTTCTGTCTTTGTCTAACACACGTGCAACATAGGATTATAGCCGTGTTCTATTTCCAACGTACCGATTAATCTAGTGAAGCGATAAGAATTCTGAAAACAGATTTGAATTTGTCGTCAAGTCTACTTGAGATCGACTTTCCCACATTTTTTATATTGTCCCACCAAAATCATAAAAACGATATATTAAAAATAGTAATTAAAAAATTTACACATTTCAATTTTTGGAGAAGTTTAAATCAAAAAATCAAAAATGTGGGAAAGTCGATCTCACGTAGACTTGCTGACAAATTAAAATCTGTTTTCAGAATTCTTATCGCTTCATTGGATATTTAGATTAATCGGTACTTACTACGTTGGAAATAGAACACGTCTATAATCCTATGTTGCACGTGTGTTAGGTAAAGACAGAAAATCGTCGCTTCCAATCCCCTTAAGTGTGCTAAATTCCCAGCTTCTAAATGTGTATTTTATTACAACCCAATAAGCTACCTATATAATTCCATATTATTATATTGTGTACGATTTAAATTGTGTTTAAATAAATTATTATAATTATTTTTTGGTTCCTATTTTTTTGATATTGTCTAGAATGAATATAATATTATAACCGTTGTAAATAATCTATAAGTAGTTATATATATATTATATATAGGTATACAAACAATCGTAACTGTGGACAAAAAATATACTTCGTAATACCGCAACAATCGGTAACTATTTGCTGGTAACTAACGGACAGCTACAAGGTCCCTCGTTTTTATATATTATGACATTAAGGGAAAACAAAATAAAAATGTGCTCTGCCGTACAGTAGGTTACAAGTGGGTCACTGTATAACGTATTAAATTTGAATTCAATGATATAATATGATTGTATAAGAAAAACGATTTTGAGCGGAGACGGTCTGTCAGTCTAGGTATAAGACATATTATATTCTTATCTATGGTAGGTATTAGAAAAAAAATTGATCTATACTAAATACCAAATTAATCATATCACAATATTCATATTTTACTTATAACGCGTTATAAATCAACAAAAAACCGTGATACTTGAGCCCACCAGGGCGTTTACACCAATAAACAAATAAATACATAATATCACTGATATATAATAATACACTTTAGAAGTTTAAAGTGCCCATGAATAATATTATACAATCACAACAAAATAACTAAAATAGTTATTCTAGGTTTTTTAATATGTAATTTAGTTAAAATTTCAACTTAAAATGACTATAAAAATAAACTGTGGTTCTGTATTTTTTATATTTTTTCGTAACAGAATCAATTACTATTACATGGAATCTTGTTTTAAATTTTCAAATCTTCAATATAAAAGTTGAACATTTTATAAATTTTTAACTACAAAATAATTATTTAATTTTAAATTTGATAAATTTTGTCAAAATTCGATCTTTAAATGCTTATAAAAAGAAATTGTGACTAATTATTTTTAATATTTTTCAAACGTCATTTTAACAACATAATAGGAGTTTTGTATAAATTTTCAAGCTTTTTTACCCAACACATAAAGTTTATTGAGATTCATAGAAAAAAAACTTAAAAAAGTTCGTATCTGAGTATATCCGTAAACAGCTCAAAACAAGTCAACATTTTTTGAAAATTTTTTCATGTATGGAAAAGGCTAAGATAAACGTCCATTGAAAATTTAATGTATTTAAGATCATTCGTTTTAGAGTTACACCAAAAGCCAAAATCGATTTTGTCAAAAACCGATTTTGCGTAAAAATTACCTTAATTTTCCTTAATTTTTATGTTGTTTTTCCCTGCGCTTTTGAAAACAATTGGGAATTTTAAAATTTTACCTCCCGAATCCACCAACTAGATTCACTTTCCCATCGAACAAGATACTGTTGAAGAAAATCGAAGCAGTTTTATTGCCCTAAGCCGTGATGACAGACAGAAAAATAAAATAAAAACATACATCATTTTAAAATCAATACATTCATCGCGCCACTCAGAATCTAAAAAATAAATTTTGTTCAGTCTAGGATTTGAGGGGGCGATAATCCCCCCCTCTAGGGCTTTTTTTTTTTCTTTAATTATAGCGCCGTAAGATATTAACTTCAAAATGAATAAATGATACAAAAAAGGTATTTTTTTCGAATATCTTATCAATTATATTGTTATTTGATTATCAATACAAATCATCGAATTTAAATAACATGATCACGTTCAAAACAAATTTGAAATTGGTTATAACACTTATAACCATAGATAATAAAAGAATATTTTCTTGGTTAGAACCAAAATTGCTGTAGACAACTTGCTACGGTTTAAGTTTTATATTATTGATAGAATGACAGATAAAATCGCCAAGCAGTGTTGCAGCGTGCTACACCGCTGTATAAATCTGTTGGGAAACGAAAAAAAAGTCTCGGGCAAAAAAAATTCATAAAACTATTAAAATAATTTTTAAAAGTTACAGCGATAACAATTTATACAACTAGAATTTTTAGAATTATGTAATATTTTTTTTGATGTGTAAACATTTATGCTATCGGTTTGTAATACGACCTTCTTGGGGAATCGAGCGTCAGGCGTAAGTCATGTAGATGTGACTGCTTGAGTGTGTGTGTGTGTGTGTGTGTATGTCGTCGCCATACCACTAAAATCACAGAACCAATAAACCAGGCGAGTTGCTCATCTATTATTTTCTTTGTTATTTTCACGAGTCTGGTAGGTGTGAACGCGCTCTGGTACAGTCGTCGGCCGATTCATTATTATTATTAATATTATTTATTATTTTCGTTTACGCACACGCGCGAAACCGTGTTTGTATCGTATAATATGTATTACACAAATTCCCACTCAAACCATGACATTATATTCCCCAATCAAAGTCGTACTACAGCTAAGATGTTTACACATCATTCGTGAGTACAAAGGCACTCACATTTTTATTTTATTTCTATTCTGACATCTAACTTAGTCGTATAGATATGTATATTTTTTTAATAATATTATTGACTAAGATACAATGAGATTTGTTTTTATAATTTTATAATTAAGAGCTATTATTTTTGTTCAATACGTAAAGTTACAAATATCTGTTTTGTATTTTTTAAAATAATTTTTAAAAGTTACAACGATAACAATTTATAGAACTAGGATTTTTATAATTATGTTATGTAATGTGATTTTCTGTTTTGTATTTAGTAGTTACCTATATTATATTATTACATAATTATTAGATATTATTATCTTTAGAAAACAGACTTTTTACACCCGAGACTTTTTTCCGGATACTTTTTTCCCGGGACTTTTTTTCCCATACTATCAAATCTGTTATCACTTCATTTTTATAAAATAAATGAAATATTTTGTTCACTGTGACTGTGGTAAACAAGTCAATTTTAATATTGAGTGCTGAATATTTTATTTTCATTGTTCATTGACAGATTTGCGACTGGTAAAAAAAGAACCATACAATTGTAGCTCAAATAAATTATTAATACATTTGTTTATTTAATATTGAATAAAAGACTGTTGAATTTTTAAACGACTTAATTTTTTTTTATATATTATATAACAGATTGTTTATTGACTTAATCTATGTATATATTGAAATTCTGTGATACCAATTCAACCCCTCCTTAAATGAGCTTCAGATCCACTACTGATTTTGTTTCTATATATTATATTCTAAGTAGTATTAGATGATATTTTTCCCCAACAAGGAAAATTGAATAGTTATATTAGGTCAGGTTAGGTTGAATAGTTATATATTATATGTTTTTGGGTATATAGTTCAATGGTAAAATATCTAGTAGCATGATACATTATTAATTAGGAATTTAATCAATTATGATTAATATTATTGATCGATTTTTGGTATAATATATTTTATTGTTTTTTAGATTCTGAGCGGAGAGAGGCGAAGCTATAGTGGTTTTAAAATGATGTTTAATTTTTTTTTTTATATATATCCTGTATACAAAATTTCTACAAGAAAGGGTGCTTCGATTTCAACATATAACACCTTATCTTTTAGCAAATTGGATCAGGATGGTACTTTAGAGAGGTCATTTTTCGATATTCTCAATAGCTATTTAATGCCACGGGAAAAACTACTGACAAATTACAAAAAACCGCTTAAAATGGGATTTTAATTCATAACGATTTGCTTGTCACCGTAGCAACGAATAAAAAATTATAATATTGTAATAGGTGCTATTAATTCAACTCAAAGGCTATGATAAATAATAAATATTTAAAAAATCCAGACTGATAAATCGTCTCCGCTCAGAATCGTTTTTCTTATACAACGATATTATATCATTGAATTCCAGTTTAATACAATCCATTATGCATTAAACCACCTGTAACCTACTGTACAGCAGAGCGACATCCACTTGCCCACTTTTTTTTTTATATTGATTTACTTTTTTACGGTGATAAACAAAGCGTTACTCGAGAAAATCAGAATATAATAATAATGGTTATAAGAATTACCTTTTATAGTTCAATTCAAACATAGTATAATATAATTAAAAATAATAAAAAAAATTCATATTATGTTCTACATTTTACGAACTCACACATACTATACTGAACACTGATATTCTCATCACGGGGCCGAACTGTCCCCATTTCACTAATAGTGAGGTTTATTATGCAGTTCAGTT